AGTCTCAGCTCGTCTACCAGAAGCTACTGGATGGCCAGTATCGTCAAAGATGGTGCATCTGTCTGTGTTGAGAAGCCTTGATCTGCTAGTACACCAGCTGAGAACACTGTCTGTCCTGCTTCTAGTACGTAGTAGACCTGGTTCACAAGCTTCTCAGCTCCACTCTCCAACTTTATGATGACCGTGCCTTCCACTGTTAAGGGGCGTTTGTCTCTTACAAAAACTTGCTTCTCCTGCTCCAATGGCTGGTACTTGTGGAAAGCTATCTTCAACTGTGTGAGGTGCATCAAGGCTCCAAAATCCATCTAGAGCACTTCGGCTTTGGACACAGTGGATGAAGATGAAGCAAGCGTCATCATCAGCATCGTGTCAGGTTGGCATAAAAGAAGAGCTTCTTTCAGCGCGAGCTTTCTCTGCGGCTTTCTTGATCCAGCATTCACGCTCCACGTGGTCAGCTTTGCCGCAGTAGCTACATGGGCCCTTGCGTTTTTTATTGGTTGCAAATCCAGGGCTGGGAGAAGGGCCTTTTTGTCCTCGAACAGGGCCATCTCGTTTCTTCCCACCCGATTGCTTTCCCATGATCAAGGCCTGCTCCACCCGAGCAGCCTGAGAGCTGTGACATGAAATCCGCATAGAGATGAATCCCTCTGGTGCCGCAGCGTCGCCATCGCCATCATCTCTCATTCTCTATCAAAATATTTCGAGATAGAATTAAAAACCCTCACGGCTATGGTGTCGCTAGGAAATATTTCCACCCCAGCCACGATCAATCCCACTCGCTACGCTGCTGCTGCCGGATCGAGCAAACACCAATGCAAGCTTCCATCGCCGCGAGGGATGAACTGCTAGGGCTCATCTCTGATGGCCTTTTTAATTAGAGAAATGATCAAGCGCAATCTAGATTCTGTCCTCCAGACTCCAAAATCTGCGAAGGGTTTCTGCCCAAGGACGAATCTCGAGCATTGAGACTGCGGGCAATCTGACATCATGTTTAAGATTAGTAGAGTTTTATTTCGTTGTTTATTTTAAACTTTATCGGACAGGTTAATAGAGTAATGCAAGAACGGACTTAAGGATATTGACCAGTGCACCCAGCACTAGGAAAATGCAGACAGAAGCATAGCATCGGTTGTGGGTAGTGGCGTTGCTGCCACTTATCATGCCTAGTAGTAGTAGTTGTTCGCAGCAGCTTAATTCTCCAGAGCAGTACTTTCTTTTGAATAGTCACTCTTTTGCACTTCTCACACTGCCTCGTCCATTTAGACCATTTTAGTTCCGGAATGGCTGTCCTGGTTTTCTATTCCCAGAGCAGACTGATTCAAGGGATAGTTCGCTGACATTTTTGGTGACCAAAACCAATTCCTTGATTCTGCCGAATGCAAAGGCCACCTGGCCTGGTGGGAACATGATGCGAACATAAAATACTTAAATTTCATGATACAGTTTTAATAGAGTAATCCCAGCACCGACTCAAGGATATTAACCAGTGCACCCAGCACTAGGAAAATGCAACTGCCAAAGATAATCACGGAAGATTGATAATTCCTGAGGCTCACGAGATCAACTTTAATGAACTTGATTGGTGTCTACATACAGATACTTGCAGATGATGCCAATGATAATCGGCCACCAACATCACAATGATCCCCCAATGATCTCAAGGATGATAATCACTGGATAAAGGATGACACCAAGCAAAGGAACTTTGAGATGCTCACGATAACAGTTAGATCAATTTTGATGAACTTGATTGGAGTCTCACTATAATGGCATTGCCCAGACACCCAACGATAATCAGGCAAGGGAAGCCACCAGGGATGTGTATCACAATGATCTCAAGGATGATAATCATCAGATAAAGGATTGACACTTAGCAAAGGAACTTTGAGGACAAGGTCTGAGTCTCTTGGCTTTCACTAGGACCCGTCCCAATGCGCGCTGTGGTGGCGAGTAGAGAATGTGATGTTGTGGTTGTGGCTTCACCCTAAACCAGTGAAGCCACAAGCCAAGGCAAAGAACCTTGTCTTCAAAGTTTCCTTCACACTATCCAAGAAATATTAGAAAATTAAATTGAAGAAAATGGCAAAATCAAGCATAACATTCGTTCTGACATTTTCTTGCCTCATCCTTGCGAGTGTTGTTCATGTTTCAGCGTTAGACAGTGATGTTAGTGGAGACCTCTCTGGTATAGTATATATAACTTGGTCTAAAGTTATGTTTGACTCTTTGTCTATGAAAATCTTGTTGTATCCAAATCAGCTGGACATGCATTGCAACAAAGTCGTCGTCCACGTCAGATTTCACACTAAAGCTAAGATTCCTCTCGTGGTCATGGACTCGGTTCTGCCGCCATGTGCCTTTGACTTGGTGGCAACGTCACCAAGAAGGCCAGCACACTCTCACTTGAATCAATTCGCTCACCAGGGCAGCCATTCAGAACTCAAGGTGAAAGACACAGAGCTGCAACCAAGTAGTATTTATGGGACAGACTAATATACTACTAGGCATGATCACGTGACGCAAGCGGCACAATGCCGCTACCCAAAACAGATGCTGTGGTAGTGGCCATAGCGGAAAGCCATGCAGTGCTTGGAGAGACTGAAGAATGGCACAAGCACTTCCGGCACAAACAACACCACCGTAAAGACTCATCAGTCTCGCCGCTGCTGACCCGGCACTGATCCCCACCACCCCGAAACCCATAGCTCGATGCCCACAGAATCTATGACCAGCCCTCCAGCCAAAACAGCAGCAATCGCCAACAGCATCTTGTTGAACAAAAGAAAACACCTCGTGCTGATGGTGAACAGCGCTTTCAGGTCATCTCCTTGAAACCCGAGGGTGTAAAGATTCAGTCTCATAGATTTTTCAGACCACTCTGCCGATGTGGATTGAAGACTCTCTTGTTGGACTGCTGGCTTCTGGCTTTAAAGATTGTATAAATTTAATTAGAAACGTAAGATTTCCCCTAACATTTAGTCAGAAACGTCATAGCTTCAACATAAGCCTATATAAAAAAGTTTGGTAGAATTTGTAGAGTATAACATGTTTGCACATAAGGGGTGATGCTATCTACCTACTCTTCCTTTACTCACTCTCAAGCTTGAGCAGCCCTTTGCTCCTTCGTTCATATGTTGTGCCTCAGATTGATAACTAAGCAACATTAGGTGATTAAATCGAGCATGATGTTCATGCATGCCTCCTCCTTGCGAGTTTTTTTTTTTCATGTTTCAGCCATGGTGGAGACATCTTTGGTATGGCAAACTTGCTTTCTAAAGCTTGCGTCGTATCCAGTGGGGAAAAGAGTTTCCACAAGGGTTATGAGGTAAGAATGCATCTGAATCAGAACAACTATGTAGGTTTAAGAGTGTGATCCAAACCTTGAACAGAGTCATTTTTTAAAACATCTGAAAGTATATTTTCCCATTGGAGAAAGTGACGACATCACTTCCCGCAGCATCACGACGTCACTAATCTCATTTGGTTTCCTAGGATCAGATTTATGCTCAAATTTAGGATAAAAGATGACACTTAGCGAGTCATGCCTTTAAATACTCGACAAATCACTAAATATGGTTCTTTGTTTATAATTAGTTACAAAACTATACCAAACTTTTAAGCCACCTGTAAAGTAAATCAGGACTTTTGCAATGAGTATATCTTAAATATTTCATTATATCTCATGTAATCGCTTTTCAAAATAGGAGAACAGCCGAATATACTCTTCCAGTTATAGGATTCAGTTATAGTTCCACAAGAAAGTGAGAATTGTTGACGTCACACTTAGGTATTTTCAAAGGGCATGTCTGTCCTTACAAGGGGACTAAGTTGCTGTAGCAGCTGCGAGGGGCTAGCTGAAGGCTGGCAGAACTGAATCTATCTATAGCTAGCATAAGCATGTGTAGATGTCAAGAAAAATTTGGCATTGTCAATATAGGTCTAAACGGTGGTTTATTTTATGTAAAGCTAAACTTCTCACCCTTGGATTTCCTAGTTGAAAAAGAAATGAATTTCCAGTTTAAAAAACACAGTTAATTCAAGATTTGTTTTATTTTAAACATTGTGCATTTTATCAGAGCTTAATAGAGTAATCCCAGGACCGACTGAAGGATATTAACCAGTGCACTCAGCACAAGGAAAATGCAACTGTTTGGAGTAACAAGGATAATCACACTCTGCAGAAGCTTGATAGTTGTAATGAGGCTCACAATAACAGTTAGATCAACTTTGATGAACTTGATTGGAGTCCACACAGGAATGGCATTGCCCAGATACTTGCAAATGACGCCAATGATAATTGGGCAAGGAAAGCCACCAGGGATGTAAATCACAATGATCTCAAGGATGATAATCACCGGATAAAGGATGACACATAGCAAAGGAACTTTGAGGACGAGGTCCTTTAGACTGGCTATAACTTGAGTGACTAATTCAAGTACTTTGTCAACTACATCCAGTGGGACACCAATGTCTGATGCTGATGAAGTTTCATTTGTGGGAAGTACCCCCTTTAGAGACCTCATAGTGCCTTGCCAGAACGATTTAAGAGTTAACAAACAAAACTTTAGACCAAGTTATGGCATACCAGAGAGGTCTCCACTAACATCAGCTGAAACATGAAGAACACTAGCAAGGAGGAGGCATGCAAGTGGGAGAATAAACACAATGTTTGATTTTGCCATTTCTTCGATTTAATCTGCTTAGATAGTGTGAGTTATCAATCTGAGGGACATTCATGCCTTTAAATACTCGACAAATCACACCAAACTTTTAGGCCACCCATAAGCAGGACTTTCGCGATGAGTACTGTGATTTCATCTCAAGCTCCAAAAGTCCGCTTCGTCTATCCAATCATAGGGAAAGTATCCTCGAATATCCTTGGCCAGCCGAATATGCTCGTCCAGATATACGTTAATAGATCGCTCCAATTATTTGTACTGGTAAAATCTGTAAAAACTTACCAGCCTTTACCCAAGGGAGGGACTGGTAAACTCCAGGTATCACTTCGAAGAAGCGCGCCAGTAAACCTATTGCCAGAAGAACATATCAAAGGAAATCACCACTGGAGTGGAATTCCACTCTCTTGTCCGAGACAACTTCCATCGTGGACGCCACCACGAACGCGGTGGAAATTTATGACATTGTTTAATCGATTCTCGCCCCGCATAGAACAAGAGCCTAGATTTCATTCCTGTGGTCTTTATTCTTCTTTCACCTGGAGAATGTCGCCAGCGCGAGTGCCAAATAGAGGCGCCTTGTCCACGATGAAGAGCTGCTCCTTCTCGGTCGTCCACAGCATCCTCCACGTCCCTGAGAGGCGCGAATCGGTGGTGATTCCATCCGAGCTCGCCAACTCGGCAGCGAGCGCCTCAAATGCGCGAAGAATCCTCTCTTTTCTCCTCTTGTCCTTCTGGCTTCTCAGCCCTCTCTCATCGTGAGATCTCTAAAGGAGGTACTTCCTAGAAATGGAACTTCATCAGACATTGGTGTCCCACTGGATGTAGTTGACAAGTACTTCGAATAGTCACTCAAGGTATAGCCAGTCTAAAGGACCTCGTCCTATGTGTCATCCTTTATATGGTGATTATCATCCTTGAGATCATTGTGATCCTTGCCCAATTATCATTGGCGTCATTTGCAAGTATCTGAGCAATGCCATTCATGTGTGGACTCCAATCAAGTTCATCAAAGTTGATCTAACTGTTATTGTGAGCCTCACCACAACTATCAAGCTTCTGCAGAGTGTGATTATTCTTGTTGCTCAGGGCAGTTGCATTTTCCTTGTGCTGGGTGATATCCTTCAGTTGATGCTAGCATTACTCTATTAAGCTCTGATAAAATGCACAATAACAACCAAATAAATCTTTAATTAACTGATTTTTCTAAAATTAAAATTGCAAATATCGTTAAATATGTTGTTTTAAGTCTTTGCCCTTTTCCGACTAACGCCACTAAACTGGAGAATCATCATTAGCTTTATTTGGTTTTTTCCCACAGATTTGGAGTCTCTTCCACCAGAATCGTCCAAGCACAATCACATGAAAGGCGATTATTGTTGTCCCTTTTATTGTTTTGACAAACAAATTGCTGTTCGCCTATGATTTGTTTTGAAATGCTCTAATAAGGGAGTCATGGACATCGGTAAAATGTGGTGAGAGGGTCTCCTTCACATTGCCTAACCATTTTCTTATCTTTTTTTTGGAGTCCAAGAAGGACAAATACTTCTCCTCCCCCAAGAGCTGACACAAAACAAGTAAGAAGACTAGGTGGTAGAAAAGGAAGTAAAGATAATTACCTCTAGCTCCATAATCTCACAGGAAAGGATCAAATCGGCAACACTTGGCTGAGATGAACCTCCCAGAAAGTTGGTATTTCCATCCAGCCATATGTCCTCAATGTTTGAGAGAGCAGATTGCAGAGTTTTCTCTGCATCTGCAATTGCCTTGGTGTCTTTTGGAGCACCATTCATGGGAAATATAACTTCTGCCAAGAACAAGCCAGCTGCAAAGGGCGTGTCCAAATCTTACGGTTAATCGGATTCATAGAATCAAATATTTACTTACTTGCACCCCGGCGAAGATTTCCATGGTGCCAGTCTAAAATACTGTCGATCTGAGCTCTCTGCTGTGGATCTGATGGATACCTGATCCAAAACAAAAGCAGATTTCATTAGGGACTTTTTAGTATAAACCTACCAGTTATCAGGAACTCCAGGACAGGTTCCAGCAAGGTATTTCAGAATTGCATGGCTGCAAAGTCTACTTGTAAGTCTGATCAAGCTATAATAGTAGGTTTCAAGAGACCTTTCAAAGAGCTTAAATCCATTCTCCACAATTGCTGGAACTTGGCCCATGGGATTGATTGCTAGAAAAATGAAAGAAGTCCTCATGAAACAAGAAAAAAGATGGTACCTTACCTTTAAACTCAGTCGTCTTGTGCTCTCCCTTCAAAATGTCAAGGTGATGAACCTCTGCTTCTATGTTGTTCAGTCTATATGCACACACAAAAGTTTATCATGGAAAACTTTGGAGCAAAGAAAAGAATTGAACTACTTGCAAAAGATAATAATTGCTCGTGATGGCTGTGAGATGATGTTAACATAGAGATGGAGATCCTTCTTGCCTTGCTCCATTTTTACTTGTGATCCTTTTTTCTAACTCTCGCCTATAAGAACTACTCTCTTTGGTGAGGCCGCTGTCCCTGGGCATAGGTGGCAACGACACAAGAAAGATAAACACAATCGATAAGAAACAACTGTTTCTTAGGGTGGAGCATATCTCCAACTTTATGCTTAGATTCTATTTTGCTTCAAACATTAATTCCTATCACCCTATATTTAAAAGATGCTTGAATATTCTAGGATATTTAATGGTTGTGATTCATTTAGATTAATCTGTATTATAACTTATAAATATATTTATAATTTATAAGCTTTCCTAAAAACTTCTTAATTATTGTACCATCTTATGGATGGTATGCAATAAGATTAATCTTGTATTTATAAATTATAAACATGTTTATATTTATAAAATTTGGCCTCACAATTATGCACATTTTAGGCTTAAGATGAATTCTATAATTGATGCTCTAACACTCTAGTACTAAGAGTAAAGTTAGACCATAAACATTTACAATATAATTATTATAAATTTAAAAAGATGCATACATGGTTATATAGAAAATTCATTGTAGAGTATAATAAGGTCACTAGTCAATGCAAGTTTGAAACTCTCACCAAATCATTCTAATATATGACCATTATGGCCACAAATATGTGATGAATACTGATTTGGCTTCATATTGACTTCTCTTCTACTTGAATCACATATTGATCAATTAAATTAATAAATAATATAAACATGAATAACACTAATATTAATCACACTAAGTGATGCTATGTATAAGTTTTATAAAATTTAGATATTCAGTTACAAAAGCGGTAAACTTAGAAAATGGCTTAGCTTATTTTAGTATATTTTGTTTCAGCCTTAGTTTCTGTACACATAAATCAAGAATGTTCAGATATATTTTTGACACACTACATTCATAAATGTGATTGTCATTACACACTGTTTAGAGGAAAGTGTTGATAGTGTATTGAGAGGATCTTCCACACATGCTATTGTGGATTCACATTTGGCTTCAGCAAGTGACTATTGTGGTTGTGAATCACATGCTAAGACAACCAAGAGGAGATGTTATTTGAAAAATAACAAAAGGAATTTTGTTATTTTATGTTGCATTTATATGTCCTCTCTAGCTGTGAATAACAATTTTAAATTTTAGAATAACTTTTTTAATAAAGCCACACATATGGTAGAACAGAGTGGCTAACATATGTTAAGATCCACACATGCTAGCAAGTTCTTAATGCAAATACCAAACTAACTAGCAGACTCTCCTTATAAGTGATGTAGCTTCAACATTTCATCTAGCATATCAACTCTATTAGAGTATCTCATAAAATCTTGATAAAAACCATTAAACATAAGTTGAATAATGGTTGTTAACAGTATTGTAAGATTCACAAACCAAAATGTTGCAACACTTTATAAATATGGGGAAAGTAGAGAGAGAGAGAGAGAGAGAGAGAGAGAGAGAGAGAGAGAGAGAGAGTGGGGGGGGGGGGGGAAGATCTTACACATAAATGTTAAAGAGATATTAGATTGTAAGTAACCCAATATAGAGGGAAAAAGCTAAAAAATGAGAGTGCATATTTTTTTTCTAACCAGTTAAGGTTTTGAGGTATTTTGAGTTAAGTATCCTTGAGTTTGAATAGTATTAAAATAAATGACCTCTTGTCGGATTATAACCAATAAAAGAGAATGGTTTGATATAAAGAAAAAGGGCATATAAACAAGAATACACCCACTTTTTCAATCGGTTTTAGTATTCTTAGGTTTGAGTAGTATTAAGTTTGAGTCTTAGGTTTAGTAACTTTTAAGAAAATTCAAATTCAAAGTTTACATGGAGAAGGGTGTTATTCCATTGTCTTAAATTCCAAGGGTTTATGAATCTTATTGTGACAAAGCTTAATAAAAGTATTCAATTTTACATTAATTATTGTTCATTAAATGATATATGTATCCCCAATATACCCTCTTCTTCATACTGTTAATCTTTTGGATTGTTTTGGGAAAAGCCATTAGTTCATCAAATAAAATTTGGTACTAGTAAATATTAAGAGTTGAGGAGGATGTTTCTCAGACTACTTTTTGTACACCATTTGATTTATATGAGTTTTTGGTGATGCTATTCGATTTAAACAATACTTTAGCAACTTTTCAATGGATGATTGATGAGGTTTTTTTTTATATGCTAGAGGCAATTGTTGACTTTATTGATAATAACTTGATCCATTTAGAAGGGACATAGAAGAAGCATATCCATGTTAGATTGGCTATGGGAAACTAATTTAAAACTAAAGTATGTGTTTGGGAAATAATTTATCTTAGGTACCACATTTCTTGTGAGGGTTTACAAATTTATTTTGACAAATTTATGGCTGTTTTGAAGTTTGAAGTGTATGAATTATGTGTAGTACTTCTTTGGTAAGATGTAATATTTTAGTTATTTTATTGATCATCTTTCTAATTGTACTATATCATTGTAAGTGTTGTTGAAGTTATCAATATCATCTTTCATCTAACTTTAGTACTACAAGTGGGCATCTAAAAATTTTAAAGAAGTGTTGACGACTCTTTGTTAGCTTTTGAATTTGGACTTCTTAAAAGGTCATCCAATTTAATATAAGAATTTTAAAAAAGTGTTGACAAATTTTTGTAAACTTCTAAATTTGGACTTTCTAAGAGGTCATTCAACCTAGTATTATTCAAATATAATCTCAAATATCCCAAGACCTTTAATCAATTGGAAAAAAGAGTACACTCTTTTTCATGGGCTCTTTCCCTTTATATTTGAATTTTTATGTATTGTCTTTCATGGTTGTTTACATTCTTTTTAATTACACTTGATCTTTTATTTTGCGTTCAATATTGGTTTTGGAAGTGTGTTAATGAAAGAAAGCATGAGTGCACATAGTTAACATCATCCTATTATCTAACTAGCAAAGGTGAATTACTTCACAAAAAAGGAGTGTCTTGCAATAATTTAGAGTCTTAATAAGCTTAATGTATATTTGGATGGTTCTTAGACATTGTTGGAGGGTGATGATATTATAGTCATTTTATTATTAAAGCAAAAGAACCTAGTTAGATGTATTGCTCAGTGGGTTATAAAGCTTAAGATATATGATTTTGAGGTTGCTCATGTTCCTTGCGAGCCTATTATTATAACATTAAGAGATTTTTTAGATAAGGATTTTATGTTGTTAAGAGTTGTTGTGTTTGATATTTAGTGTCCAAAAAGTGTAAAACTAGATTTACCTAAGATTCATAAGGCTTAAAAAGTTGAGTCATAAACTCAAAGGCTTCATGATGAGTTTGAAAATTTTTCATCACTTACTAATAATTTTTTATTTCAACATTTACATTCTCAATATTGCCTTAAGGATAATATTCTTTACTTTATAAGATTGATTTTGATAACCATTTACAGTTGGTGATGTTTTTTATCTTTATTTCACGCTTTCTTTATACTTATCATGACTTCTATTCTAAATGGGATATCATTGTATGAATGAGAAGTTGTATAGATATTTTTATTAACAATATATACAATGTGATATTATTTGATATATGCATTGATGCTAAGTTCTTAATACTCCTTTTTGTGCTATAGAATGGTGGAGTCAATTATAATTTTCCATTTTGTTTAAGTTAGTAGTATTTGATTTGATTGGGCCTCTTTTATGGTTGATTGTCAATAATGAGTTTATCATTATTGCTTCTGACTATTTAACTCATTATATAGAAGTTAATACTCTTATTAGTATATTTATGACTATTGTTAAATATTTCCTCCTTAATTGAGTGGTGTTCTAGCATAGTGGAATTTCTCAAATAATGGTTATATATTTATAGTTTAGGTATTTCATGTTTTGATATCTTTATTGGGGATACACCACATTTTAATGAGTGTTTATCATCCATAGACAAATGGATTAGGATGGTTATTTATTATTTCTCTAGTATATGGATGTTATGAGGATGTAGAGTTCCATAGATGCTTCACCATATAACCTCTTATATACTCATGATTTTATATTTCCAATGGAGTTAAATTTACCTTTATGATTGCTATGAGTTACCAATGAGATCAATATTTGACACATAATCTTCCACTAGTTTAAATGAAATTTTCTTAACACTTAGGCTATGTACAAGTGGAATAACAATGGCACTATAACTTTTACCATTGTTCATTTATAGAATGCAAAGTGAATAATTTAATGTTGGGTTTGTTTTTCCAATCTTATAGTGTGTGGTTTGTATAAAAGGCTCCTTGTCCAATAGAAGGGATTGTATCAAGTGTTGTAACAAATTGGATTACAAGTTTATAAGATTTAGTATATGAAGAAATCACTCTAAAGACATAATATTCAACAAACTAATTCTTAAGAAATTAAGCATATTAGCAGTTGAAGTGTTTCGTACAAATGGATTATAAATAATTTACACTATTTACAAATCTATTAGTGCCTCCTTCTGATATCAATAAGAGAGCATAACTTCCTTTTTTTATCCTTTGGAGAAGAGATGTTAAATATATAGTTATGATACTGTATATTATTATTAACATAATGAGATTTTGATAGTTATTGAATTGATTTCAATTAGAATTACTTCCTCTTATATATCATTTAAGTTTTTGAATATATATATATTTGTATCTCATATACTCACAGTGTGAGGGCCAAGTGTATGGCTATGATGCCATATACTAATATTAGCATAGTGGGATTTTGGTAGCTGTCGGATTGGTTTCAATCTGGACCACTTGTTTCTATATATAAAGTAGGGTTTTTGGGAATTGATATGCACATTTTCTATATTCCCTTTCCATATTCCATGCACTCACATTGGTGGAGAAGAGGGACACCTTTGATTGTCCCTGAAGATTGTTTGGATTTGGAATTTTAGTTTAGATCTAGCTTTTGCATTGTCTAGATCTAACTTTTTCCATTTCCTTTCTTTTGTTCTTTCCCTTTAGGATTTTGGTTTATCTCTAGCT